ATCACCGCCCAGGAAACAGCTAAGGACAATCACTAAAATAATCATGCCTTACTGTTGTGCATCAACTCTAGTTTTGGAGGATTTAGGTTATAATGAGTCTCTGCTTCCATATATCTAATTTTTTTCCATAATGGTTTCTTCTGCTCTCAGACTTGTGCCCCTGGCCCCAACCTTAAAGGGCAATATTTTTTTAACTGGCTGGATTTGAGAAGCAGATACAGAAGAAATCAAGACAATGAGCCACCAGCTATTTAGATCTAGCTTCAATTTAAATGAAGAGGCAACACCCTGATTTAGTGCAAGACAATTTATCACCCTGGCCTGACTTCTATGGAGAACTTGAGTATCGATATGATCTTGTTTTTATTCAGCGCCCCCAAAAGCCAATCAATCCCCACCTTCAGTTGTTAATAACGTATAAAAATGGGCCTGACTTTGAGATGTTACACAGGGAAACCATCATGTCAGCATTTCGATCAACCTTCTCTTCCGTGGCCAGAAAAGTCAGGCGAGGAGTTCCTTCCAAGCTCACATCCTGAACCTGCCAAGGAAGCGTGACAAACTCCCCTACTGCCACAAGCTATTCAGGAAGGTTTGATTCTGTTTACCTAACTGCCACTTAAGTGAAGTCAGTGTTAAAGAAGCCCCCACTGTACCGGATACCTACCTTACTGTGGTAATTTTTAAAAATTCATTGTCATTTTATGGGGAAAAGTGGTCTATACAAATGATCACCTCAACTACCATTTTAAAAGTGCAACAGTAAAATGGGTTTAGATTACAGAATAGCTATTTCTTTACTTTTTTTTTAACTCACTATTTCTTATACTTATCAAAAAGATTTGACATTTTTAATTTTTATTAAAAATTGTATTTTACAGACTTTAAATATGCTAAGCAAAATCATGTACAATGTAAAAATAAAAATTAAAGGTGAGTAACAAACTATCATTTTTCAACATAAAGCATTAAAAAAATGTTAGTATTAACAATAGCCAGTAAAAATAGGAAAAGAAACATGCACAAGCTATTCGTTATATCCTCTTTGTAATACATTTGGGAATGCTCCAAATGCCCATCAACAGGTTGAATGAATTATATTATACCCACAGAAGAATACTCTGCAATAAAAATGAAAGAAGAATATCCTAGATACTAATGTGGAATAACCTCCAGGATAGTGAAAGAAGCAAAGTTGGAAAAAGTGTATTAAAGTATGCCACTATTTATCCATGAAAGAGTAGGATATGTAAACAGATATATATGTGCTTATACTTTTAATATGTAATGATAAACTACAACTTTTAAAAAATGGCTCTACAGATAGGGAAGCAAAGGTAGTCTTCTTTGAATAGACTTTTTAGATTTGACTTAGATTCAAAGGCAGTATTTTATATAATTATAAATAAATTTTATACAAATTTCTAAAATTCAAACATAAAATGAAGCACATGACCTAACTATATATACCCAGTTAGTGAATAATCACAGAAACAACTGTTAACAAATGAGCATAGAGCACAGTAATTTGACTATACATCTCTGGAGAATCTACCCTAAGGATGAAAAAACCAAACAAACAAAAAAATACCCCACTCTGGCTGGTATAGCTCAGTAGATTGAGTGCCAGCCTGCAAACCAAAGGGTCATCAGTTCGATTCCCAGTTGGGTCACCTGCCTGGGTTGCGGGCCAGGTCCCCAGTACAGGGCACATGAGAGACAACCACACATTTGATCTTTCTCCTTCCCTTCCCCTTTCTCTCTAAAAATAAGTAAATAAAATCTTAAAAAAAAAAAAAGAGGTTGGAGTTTTGGTGTAGAAGAAAGGAGATAGAGGAGGTTAGTAAACTCTGAAGTCCTGAGTTTGAAGTATCATTTGGACTCATAATGTATTTTTACTTTGAGAAAAACATTTTTTCTAGATTCATCCATTGTGAAGGCAATAACCAACCTAGTAGCAATGAGTACCTTTGGCTCCCAGAATATAGCCCCCAAACACCACTTCCCACAGAAGGAAGGAAGAAAGGGAAGAAAACAGGGGGGCGGGGGGAGGCTACCTCACTGCTTGGAGAAATGACTGATTCCAGTTCTGACAAAGGAAATTTATTACCCCATAACAACTTACCACACCAGAAAGTAAGAAATCTAGCAAAAGCTATTAGAGTATATAGCAAAGATTAGAAGTCAACTTGCAAGAACTCCCACTGCTCAAAGCTAAAATAATTCAAGCAACAAAAAGGTAATAAATGCCATAGATACAAGCACACCAAATGTATTAAAAAATCCATGAGTACCTATAGATACAAAAATCAATTTTTTTGGAGAATGTTGTTTTGACAACTGCTTATTAAAAAAGAATCAGCATTTCTCCTCCCTTGATGATGAAAAGCTTACCTTTATAGAACTATTCCAGCTAATAAAAAGGCAATGATACAGTTAGAATATCACAATCGTACACCTCTCACAAACTAATGGATGTAGCCAGTAATTATCAGTGGCGGCTAAAACATAAAGGAAAAACAACAGGACGTAAGTACCTCCTAGCACATCACCGTATGTGCATATGCAGTCTTGCCAAAGAAAAACTAGATCTAGCAAAGCCCTCCAGATATATCAACTGACAAGAAATATAAGGGACAGAAAAATGCGCTGAAGTCCACCACAGAGACAGGCTCAGCAAAATCCAGACCGTAAGTAAATCTCAGGACAAAAACTTGCTTTCTCCAATAACAAAAACAAAAGAGAGGGTGCTATGGTCTGAATGCTCGGGTTCCTTCAAATTCGTGGTTCAAATCCTAATCCTCAGGGTGAGGGATCAGAAGGTGAGGGCTTTGGAGGCAGTTAGATCTCCGGGGTAAAGCCCCCACCTCCCCACAGCACGAGGACAAGAGAAGCCTGGAACAGGGAAGAGGCCCCGGCAAGCCGGCTGACCCGTCTCAGCCTTCCAGCCCCCAGGGGGCTTCTGCTGTTCATAAGCCGCCCAGGCTGCAGCACTTTGTTACAGCAGCCTGAGCGGACTAAGACTGGGAGGGAGAGGAGAGAAAGGAAAAGAGGAGGGGACAGAAGGGGAGTGAAAATATTAAAAGATGAGATTTTCAAAAGAGAGATACATGTATAGTTTATCTGAATAGTGATACGACAGTGTTTTTTAAATTATAAAACAACTGCCAGAATCTGAACAGTGACTGGATATTTGAGGATTTTTTTTACTGTTTTTTTTTCTTTGAAGTGGTAGTAGTATTTTGGTTAATTTTTTAAGGATTCCGTAAATACTGATATATTTGTAAATAAAGTAAGATGATACCTGGGTAACAGATGAAGCTGATACATGGGGGTTCTTTATACAACTCTATTTTATATACGTTCTAAAATGTTTTCATAAACGAGCTGGGGAAAAAGAAGTTCCCATTTCAAACAAACTGCAAGTCTGTGTGTGTGTGTGTGAATCAAGAAAATGTAAGCAATGACTGAGAGGTGTTAATATTAAGGAGTTGTTAATAGTTTTAGGTGTGATGATAGTCTGGTTATAATATTTGAAATGCAAGTTCAAGGTGAAAGACATCTGGGATTTGCAGTAATTCAGGGCTGGAGGAGTGAATTGGGTGCAGTTAAAAAAGACCAGCCGCCTACCAACAATTGCTAATGCTGAGTGGTACATACATTGCTGTGATTATACTATTCTCTCTCCTTTCGTACAGATTTGAAATTTTACAAAATAAACACTTTTGAAAACTGGGTCTTTTCATTCAGATGTTGATGTAAGGTCCCTATAGTTTCTGTGCTTACCCACCTTACCTCATGGGGCTTTAGAAACACTAACCGTTAAAATGAAGTCAATGTAATTAAATGGCTGTTGAAATGCTGTCTTTTATGATTGAGGCTGGCAGAACAGAATGAAGAAAACAGTGAGCTGGTGATTTTAAAATTCTGACTCATGAAGTTTATCACCACTTTTTCAGTGATGCTTTCCATCACGGTCTCCCCTGTCTCAGCTGGAAGCCCCGCAAAGACAGAAACCCGGTCCCCCTTGCTTGCCATGGTACCCTCAGTGACCAACCCAGTGCCCGTAGGAAAGAGTAAATCCGAGTTCAAGTCTCTGCTCAGCAACACTGAGCAAGGACTGTGAGTGCTCTGTTCTGTACCCACCCACACAGCTGCAATTCAATCATATCTGTGGAAAGACAGTTTACTTAACCTCCCCGAGCCTCAGGCTCCTCGTCTGTAAAACAGAAATAATATCTCAATAAGCTGATCTGCATACTGTGGCTAAAATGGCTTTCTTTGGCCATTCATTCATTCGTCGCACAAATATCTGTAAATTCTAAGTCCTACAAAAGTACAGAATAAGGGACCATTCATGGAGGTTCTGCTGTGTGCCAGGCACTGTGACATGTGCTAGGGACAACTACAAAGGTAAATAAGGCACAATCTGAGGAAGTGTTTCTGAGAAAGTTTTCTGTCAAATGGATGGAAAGAGAGAGGATGAAATAACAATGTGAACTGGTAAGTGACATTTAACACTGCACATTCCCACTGGGGAGCGTCCTCCTACCCGAATTGGTTTCAGGAAAGAAATCAGTTCACTCAACTTCCCAACATTATAAATGTCAATACCCACATTATAACCAACGGGAGGTACTTCTTTCATTTATTCACTGCAATGAGGCTAAAGATTCTTTCTGAAGACCCCAGCCAATGCTGGAAGGCTTTCAAAAGAAGTAGATCCTTTTGTTTGTCTGGGTTTCTGCCCGCAAACCAAGGGAGCCGAATGGAGCTATTGGCTCATCCATTTCGTATTAACTGCCAACTCCCTCCCCCAGAACACAATGCCCTTCTATTTCAAGGAGGCCCCTCAGCAACTTGTTCCATGTCAGTCAATGGCCGAATCAGGACACAGAATCAAGTCTTTCAGATCCAGTTGCAAACCCAAGACCAACTTCTCATGTACTGAAAATAAGACAACACCGTATGTTAAAAAAATATTTTTTAAATTAACTTACCTCAAATTCTTCCCAAAAGCCTTGCTTGACTTTATCTGTGGTCTCAGCTAATTTGCTTAGTTCTCGAACCCGGCTCTCTATTTCAGCAGCATTGATACGAGTTGTGTTGAGGGGCTAATCGAGTTCAGCCATTGGAGTGAAATAAAGAAAGCATTACGTCAAAAGTGTTAATGCCAAAAAAAAAAGAAAGAAAGAAAAGACATCTAGTTTGGTGTTCATGAAGGCAAGGACAGGAAGTTCACATGACACAATAATTCTCAATAAACATTTTCAAACACGATTTCACTTTCTTTTCTGTTCTCTCAGAAAATAAATCTTTCTCCAATCCCCACACACACTTTACTCTGCTAGTATGAATTCAATCTTTTTTTCTGTATTTTTTTCTTTATAAATAAACTACAATATTAGAGGGTTAATATAATTTGCCACTACATGACAAGAGTGAACTTTGAAATAGACACACCTCCAAACACAGTAAGTGTGAGGACCAAAGATGCACCTACAGTGAAAACTTGCTTTAAAAACTCTGCAGGCCTTTTGGAGGTACAGACGGAGAACATCATGGAAATGATGTGATATCTGGAATTCGTTCCCTAACACCATGGTGGCGGGGAGGGCAGCGAGTGGAGTAACAGCCGGAGTCGGGTTTGACGTGGTGATCATGACTGAAGCTAGGCCGTGGGCATGCGGGGGTCTGTGATGCTATTCTACTCCCTGTGTATCTGGAACACCCTCTATTAGGACTTTTTCAGCTCCCTAAGGAGATGGGCTTTAGATTTCTAACACGCTCACCTGCTTAAGCTGTAGAACCGTGCCCAGCGTCTCTACCATGGGATTCTTCTTATAGTGCTCCACGAGGTCTGTCAAAGAGTCGAACCGCTCTCCTCCACCAACGTCATATTTCAGTTCCTTTCAACCAGAAAAAATCAAGTTTATTACCTGGATGTTAAATTGCTGCTTTCCCAGCTGAAGTACAGAGACAATGGCCCCCCACCCCCCAGGAATGGAACGATCAGATAGCTGCGGTAGCACCAAGGAAAGGACGCAACAAGGATGATGGAGTCGGACTGGCTGGCCCGCGAAGTCACCATGAGGCGCGAGAAGCAACAGCTGAGTATCCAGCATCGAGCAGGCCACAAGAAAGTCTCTCCTTCACAAGTTAACTAAAAAGTTTTAAAAAATGAAAACAGCATTCTTTACGTATACTGTAGGCTAAGCGACAATACATGAGGCTAATGAATGGAAGGTAAATAAACTATTTCTCTCTGAAATACAAGTTCCAAGGCCGGAGAGGCAGCACTGAAGCCCAATGCACATGTCTTTACTTTCATCTTCTGATGGAAATTATAAACAGAGACCAAGAAATTTTTTCTAAAAAGCAGATTAGGAGAGGCTATTTCAGGGAAACAGTTAAACTCAGAAAATACAAAACCCTAGAAATACTATAGATGAAGATACTTGGAGACAATCGTTTGTTGAAAAATAAAACTTTCAAAATGACGCAGTGAAGACCTCTGAAAATCCGCTCTTCCATAAACGCAGCAAGGACATGGCGAAAACTGTCATCAACTTGTTCAGGACTCTGAAAATGAAACAAGAACTTGCAACCAGCGAAGGAGCATTCACTCAAGAAAAATGGCTGAATTTTGGTAAGGACAGCAAACTGTGGCATTTTTCTAAATCGATTTGCAAGAGAGAGCAGGAAAGAAAGAGCCATCTGGTATTTTGCCAGACCCAAGGTCAAACGAAGCCTTACCTGACAGCGGATCATGACGTGGGTCACTTTGGACTTGCCATCATTGCTCTCCCCCTTGTCATCACCAGTTCGGACGGAGAGAACAAAATCTCCAGGGTGGCTCTGGCTCTCTCGTACCAGAAAGCTACCATGTTTTCCTTTCTCAGTTAATAACTTCTCTGCTTCTTTCCCAGACAGGTGTCCATGAAACCACCTAAATTTTTAAAGAGGAAAATAAATTGGGTTCTGCCAAGGGAATCACAACACTCTTCCACAAAACTACCATATATAGTCAGCGCTCCTAAACACAATTAGAAAACACACGCATTCCTCAAGAGGTCGGGAGATACCACGGGAGCCAGAATCTGCAACTGGAGCGGGCAGGAGGAATGACAAAGGTGTCAAGAATGACCATTCAATTTAAGTGATTCCCCAGTCATTTGTAGACAAGTGTCTTCCATCTTTCCTATTTCCTTTTATATCTCCCACCTTTTGAAAATATAATTTGTTAGATCTCCATGCTCAACATTAAAAGAACCAACTATTTAATCACAGCCATTTAAAGAAATTATAATAGAAAGTTACGGTTAAGACAGAGAATGATATGAATGTTTGCTCGGGCATGAGAACAGTGTGCAAAAAAAGATCTTCATTGTAAATTAATTCAAGCATTTCAAATTTTTCCGTATTTCCAACCTATACTTGGACAGCCTCCAAGTCTGCTATCAACATCTGTGGCCTGCATGCTGGGTTATCATATCAAACTTTAATGCATGTAAGACTGAGCAGGGTGAGGGATTTTACTAAAAATGTGAATTCCCATTGCTCACAAGCAGAGATACCAATATGCTATTGAACGGGCCCAGCAATCTGCACTTGTGACCAGCACGCCAGAGCTGACATAGGCCATCTGAGGACAGACTTTGAGATACTATAAAAAAAAGAAACCCACAACACTTAACATAGTTGTGTTAATAAAGTGGCTTTTTCCCTCACATTCTTGGTGAGAAAACAAGTACTATCATGGCAGATGGTGCTAATGGCACATCACTAAAGGAATATACTTGGAGTTATTTTTCATCTACTCTCAACTAAACAGAGTATAATGTAGAAATAAACTGCAGAGAATGGGCGGACAGCCTTTTGCTTGAAGCTACAGGGATCCCGGAATTATCAGCATATAATAGCACTGACAGGGAGGTGCAAATTGAAGAAAACTACCTGAAGACACAAAATGCACAAACCTAATTAAGAGACCCAGAATTTGGACTGAGTCAGAGGAGACTGGGAATGCAGAAAACCAATAAAATCAATACAAATGAAGTCAAGGCCCAGCTTACCTCAGCTCAGCTCCCACACAGCAGTGCGGGGGGGAGAGCCCTGTAAGGATACAGTTCCCACCAGGGAAGGTCACTGTCGCACGCTTGTGGATGCAACAGGAAAGACCTGCTGAAAAATCAGACCCTCGGCTTTTCTACTCCTGAGCTTAAACTGACATCTGTTGGTGGCACTGCTGAATAACTGGGTCGGGAGCTACCACCGGTAACTGCTGCGACTTCGGTGTCACCATTTCCATCGTTTTCCTCTCGTAATTCTCAAATACTATCAGCTGAAGTTCAATCATCTTACATTTACTGCACATACTAAGAATATACAGGAACAGTCTGAGGCTCCTAGAAGGAGTGTCTGTAACACAGACTGAAGCTTCTGCAAGAGAAGGGCTCTCTGAGGATAATCTGATCCTCTTATTCCTACTTTAATAAAACTTTCAAGATTGCAGCTTGGGGTGGAAAAGGTGAAGGGATTAAGATGCACAAACTGGCAGTTACAAAACAGTCACAGGGATGAAAAGTACAGCTTAGGGAATAGAGCCAATAATACTGTAATAACCATATATGGTGTCAGGTGGGTACAAGACTTATTAAGGGGATCACTTCATAGGTTATATAAATGTCTAATCACTATGCTGCACACCTGAAACTAATATAATATTGAACGTCAACTGTAATTGCAATTTTTTGAAATTTCTTGAGAACAGACTGCAGCTCGAGAAACAGGTCCAAGCCAAATCCCCAGGTCACATTCACATAACTCCTATGGCACAGGACAGACTCAGAGACTCTGCTGTTATCCAAGTGTCACTTACCTTTCAGAGGTAGGATCTGCACAGTTCAGAGGATACTTGAGCTCAATAACATCTCCATTCTTCTCTTTTAATTGCCCGTGATGTTCCATGTAATACTGAACCAGCTCAGCCAAAGTGGCAAACTTCTCCCCGCCATACAGGTCGTAGTAATCGCCAGTGTTCTGAATCTTGATGTGGGTGACAGCTCCATTCCTTCTAAAATAGTCCGTTAGAAAGGGGGAGGGACAAATAAAGCGCTACACTAGTAAAAATGGACCTCACGTCCGTTATCGGGTTGCACCTAAACACTGAAACAAACCCAAGGCATGGACGCGTTTATACTCATTCTTACACTCGTAAGAAAAGCAACGAGTGAAATAACCACACAGTCCCTCATTTCAACACAAAGGGCTCTGTTTATTAGTTTCTTCCCTTGTATAACTTGTACTTTAAAAGTCTGACTGATCAAATTGTGTATTTTACGTGACAACAATTTTTCTCATCATTAATCAAGACACATGTAATTAAAATGCAAACATACATCTACCGTGTAATCCAGGAAATCCCCTCTGAAGTAGCTTGCCCAAGAGTAATGAAACCGTATGGCTACCAAGTGACTTGTATAAGAATATTCACTACAGACTTATTTATAATAGAAAAAAATTGAAAACTCAAATATTTATCACCAAAATGGATGAACAAATAGCTACATACTCATCTAATAGAATATTACACCGCAATAAATAAAGAACCAATATGCATGCAACAATACAGATGAATCTCAAAAAACATTATAAGAAAAAGAAACCAGAAACAAAAGAATATCTACTGTATGACTTCATTTATATGAAAGTATAAAATAAGCAAAACTAGCCGATGGGGATAGGAATGAGAGGAGTGGTGGCCTCTTTGAAGGAGGGAGCAGAGGAAGGGGGCACAAAGGAACTTCTTCCAGGGTGACAGAAAACCTCTCTATTTTGAAGGGGGGGGCAGGTTACATGCATATACTCATTTGTCAAAATTCACCTCACTGTACACTTAAGATACTCTATATAACTGTACCTTAAAAATCATTTTAAAGGCATATAATGGACAGTTTCCAGCAGGAGGTGGCTAATATATTACCCCAATGAGTGGACATAGCATTGGCCAGGAGTTTCTGACACTTGGTATTTTGGTGAGCCGAGGCAGTCTCCGGTTTTCTGAACTACTAAATACATCTCGAGCCACCATTATCACCGAGGTGGACCCACATTTATTTTTAGTCTGACTCCACAGCATTATTGATGAAGCCTCTGGAAAATAACAACACAATTCTACCAAAGATTAAGGGAAATGGGAACGAAGGAAAATAAGAAAATTCGTCCCACAATGTTACTAACAATGTCTACTTCTCATTTTTGGTAACCACCTTTGACAGTGGGTAAAAAAAGGCACTTCGGGTCATTCTCCTCCAGCTACACCTGACTTTATTTTAACACCCGAGCTTTCAATTTCTAGCCTGTAGTTAATGCCATGACCCAAGACATTTCAGTGTGGACCAGGTCTGTATACAGCAACATAGGAGGATCTCAGACGCAATACTGCACGAAAGAAGCACAATGCACAATGACATGCCTAGCATGTGCCGTTCTGAAAATTTATGAACACACACTACATATTATATACTACTCATGATACAGACATACGTAGACATTATATTTTTATTATATTTACATATATTATAAATTTATGTACTTTTTCTATGAACTAGAGAGAAACTCATGATACGAGCTGCCTCTGGGACAAAGGGAAACACAGGATCAAGGGTGGTGAGTAAAAGGAAATTTTGTTTTACTTTATATTTTCAAGAAAAAAAGATGACTGGCAATAAATACAACATGGGTGATTGTACATACTTTTAAAAATATTTTTGTATTTTTTTCCTCAAAATTAAAAAAGGGAGATCTTCCATGACTAACTGGACACAAGGCAACATAACCATCAGTTTTTCAGCATGGGCACCTAACACAAAGGTTAGATCGCCTGCAGCAAACCAGAGTGATGAACGCATATATGCAAACGCGCGCCTGTGCACACAGACACTGCGGCACACGCACATACACTACGGTGTCTATAACATACATCAAACGTATAAAGAAACACGAAAGTGAAACTTGGTAGAGCAGTGGAGTTGTTAAAAGGACTGGTTCCAAGACAGTTCACAAAAAAGACATACAAGTGGCCTTTAAACTTATGAAAAGACGTTCAGCTTCTATCATAAGAAATGAAAATTAAAATTCCAAGACAGCACTTCTCACCTATCATGCTTGTGAAAATGAAAAACTTGACCACACTCATCTAGTGACGCTGTGGAAAAATAGGCCCTCCCACTGGGAGGGGAATTTGGAAAAGCTGTGCTATATCCACGTATACTCTCTGCCCCAGCCGTCTCACTCCCAGAAACTCACCCTGAAGATACATTTCCTTAAGCATAAAACATATGCAAAAGCTTATTACAGTCATTGTGGCAGCAGACAGCATTGTAAAACATTGGAAACAATCTCCTGCCTGCATGAAACTGTATAAAGTTACATGCTACGCAGTTGATTAAAACAATGAGAATCAGCACTAAAAGATTTCTGTCAGTGAAAAAAATAAACTACAAAGAAATATATTTAATGTTCTACTTTATGTATAAAAAGAAATACAAAAGGATAAACCAGAAACTAACGGAAATGGTTACCTACAGGGATGGATAGAAACAAGGTGCAAGTGGTAAAGAGTAAGGAATGAGATTTTAAACTAATTTTTTGATAGGTTTGACTTTAAATCTTGCAAATGTTTCACATTCACAAAATAAAATTAGCCCTGGCTGATGTGGCTCAGTGGATTGAGCGACGGCCTGAGAACCAGAGTACCTGGTTTGATTCCCAGTCAGGGCACAGGCCTGGGTCGCAGGCCAGGTCTCCAGCAGGAGGCACATGAGAGGCAACCACACATTGATGTTTCTCTCCCTCTCTTTCCCTTTCTCTAAAAACAAATAAGTATTTTTTTAAAATAAAAATTAAATTAAGCTAAATTGACAAAAATCGAAAAACTGAACACACAACAGAAAAACTGAATATAAAGTGAAAGAAAAGAATCTAACTTTCTAGTAAGTTCATAACGAGACAGAAAATGAATCCCTGTAACTCTGAATACAGTACTGATTGTGCACCCTTACTGGGGTCCAGTCTAAGGACAAAAAGACTCTGGAGAAATCATGAGCTCCACTTAACGGGTTTGAAGTTAGCAGCGGCCGTGGCACAGGCGTTCTGAGTCTGCCCGCACCGCAGCACTGGGCCAAGGAGCTCCCACACCCCGCCGTCTACCGACCCGCTGCGGGGCCGGGCCCTCGCCGCAGAGGAATGACACGGATGTGGAGCGGCAGCGGGTGAGGGAGCTGGGGTCCACTGGGGATAGCAGTGCGAACGCTTGGTTTTAGACATGTAAATATTTACTTCCCAGCTCTGTCCACTGTGAGGGCCTACGAGCAGCGGCACCCCCGGAGCATGAAGACCTAAAGACGCAGCAAATACAATGTGCTTCCTCTCGGGAAATGATGGGACGGCTTCGAGGGCCTTTACTAAAATGATAAGGGAAATTTGAGTATGGGCTATATATGAGACATTATTATTGAGTCAATGTTTAAATTTCTCATATATAATAATGATATTGTAATTATATAGAATGTCCTTGTTCCTAGGATATGCACACATAGGTATATAGAGGTAAAAATCCATGTCCTGATATGCACAACTTATTTTCAAAAGGTCTGGAGGGGAAAATGTATATGATACACACAGACACACACTCATAGAGAAAGAGCAAATATGGAAAAATGTTCATAGGTAAAGGCAATGTGGTTGTTCACTGTTTCATCTATGAGCTTTTCTATAGGTCAAAATAAAAAGAGGCGGCAAAAAGTCCCCAGTAACTGCCGTCCTGGGTCTGCCACTTACCAGCCATGAGACTAGCTTACCAACAACCTCTGTGCTGTAGCTTCCTCACCCGTGAAGTGAAGGTCATGGTGCTACTTATTCACAGGTTGTTGGGAAAATTAAATAAAATGATGTGTGTACAGTGCTTAGCACAACAGCCTGGAATATGTCAAGTCCTCAATAACGTTTGCTATCCTCATCTTCATCATCATCATCATCATCATCATCTAATCCCTAGCCAAACTCTTACAGATCAAATGTCACTTTAGGTCAGATGTCTATGGTGGAACAAGCCCTGAAGACTTATAAAGGCTTCCACTCATTCCGTAGCTTATCGTAAAACAGAAGTAAAAGCCAATAACAAAGGTTCCTTAAGAAACTAATCTACACCAAGAAAGGATTTCCCAAGTCCCATAGGAATCCTGAATGAATCCTAAAAAACAAAACTTTATTTTAAAATAATAATAATAAAAGCAAATTCATAAAGCATTTCAGTTCTCATTCCTGGAATGAACTTGGGTAAGGAGAATAAGTATTTAAGAGAAAAAGTCAATTCCTACAAAAAGTCTCCTACACCTATTCAGAGACATGTAACAGGATGGTGGCCATGCTGTTCAAAAACATTTTAAACAAACTAAAAACAACCCAACATCCAATAATGGGAGACTGGATAAACTGTGATTTGTTCACACCATTCAAATATTATAGAGCCTTTAAAATTAATAACCACATCTATAGGTACCAACATAGAACTTAAAAGTTTTTTAAAGGAATTTGCAGAATAATATGTGCATTATAAAGCCATGGATATAAATTCTAAAAACACACGCACGAATGTGATACTGTTCACACACAGTACAAAAGTCGTTCAAGTACAAAAACATGATCAAGAAGGACATATGCCAACCCCTGAGCGTGGTTTCCTCTGGGGAAAGAGGGAGGGGATCAGGACCAGGCAGGGGAACACACAGGACCACAACTTCCTCAGTGATGTTTTATTTCTTGAAAAGGACAAACTGATCTTAAGAAACTCTTTAGAAGTATTTTTCCCACTAAGGGAGCAACGGAGAGGAAGGTGAAATGTGGGGAGCCAGGCCGCGGAGGAGTGGACTCGGGCAGTGGGCGGCTGGGGCTGGCTGGTTAGAGTCGGCTCCAGCCCATCATGGGCGGCCTCCAGGGGCAAGAAACGCCCACCGCCGCCCTCCCGCTGAATTCCCCAGCCTCATACTCTCGGAGGCCACGCCTGAGCCCCAGAGCAGGTCTGAGTCAGGCCCCCCCGCAGGGCGGCCGGCAGGCCTTCGGTCCCTTGACAAGGGCGGCAAGTGGTCCGACTGTGGTTTTTTTCATTTTTTGTTCTTTACGGAGTTTATTGGGGTGACACTGGTTAACAAAACCATACGGGTTGCAAGTGTGGTCTAACATTTCCTACAGGAACACACTCTGGGGAGTCTTTTTCTTCCCACTTACCTAACGGAAAGTGTGAAGTCTCCAGGGTTACTTTTACTGGGCCTTGCCAAAAAGCTGCCATCAACCCCTCTTGTCAACAGTAGGTTTTCGGCCTCCACACCAGTGATATTTGGATGAAACCATCTTGAGAGAGAGAGAAAAAAAAAAAAAGAGAGAGAGCAATGAGCCACAGAGGATTCTGTCAGCACTACATGCCACACTCGCACAGCTGAAATGCCAGAGTAGGGCGGTTAATAAAAATACAAATCGAACCTCCCCTGTCCCTGCCCCCTGTTCTCCTTGGACACTGCCGCTTCCTCACCTTCCCCCTGGCAGCGGCCTGGGATCCTGCTAGCACAGTAGGTGGGGCTGGGGATATGGGTATTAAGCCCGTCACTTGGTGGGCCAGGACCAGAAAGATAGTCTACATGGTCAAGAAAGTGAACACATGGAATGTGATTAAACAAGTAAGTACATGAATAAACAAACTACTTAATAGTAAGTAAACATATTGGAGCTAATGGGAACCAGGCTTCTCACTGTTGGAAAGAGAGATACAAATATGGAAAGGGAGAAAGCCAGAATAAATCCCATAGTGTTAGACTGGAACTGAAGGGATCAATGCAAACTCTAGGATTTAATATACATATGGAGATAGCTCTACAGGTATAGAAATATAGAGGTATGTCTCTGTGAACGTGTATATATACATGCACACGTACATACATCTCTTACTACCTCTCTGTTCTGAAAGGACCTGGCAGCAATGACACCCCAGTAGCAATCAGCGTGCCCAGCACCCGTATTTGGTTTCTAAACACCGCTCCCCGACAAAAGGAACTGGGCTCCTTGGAGAAACAGGTGACTCCAGGGCTGGGGCAGTAGGAGGAAGGTGAGCCTGAAACACCTCATTATGCCACAGTAAGAAAGGGCTCCGATGAGGGCATGTCCCAAGGATGCAGGAGCGGGCTTGAAGGTCCTCCTGCCGGCCAGGTTAGGGGAAATTTGTACCTCAAAAGCAATGATGATATTAATAGATTATAACTCATTGAATAAAATAGGAAGCCTAGAGTCCACACAGGAATTAATTTTTGAAAACGAATTAAGGTTCATCAAAAAACTAATGATGGAATTACCAAATGAGCCACAGGTGCCACTTCTGGGTATATACCCCCGAGAATGGAGGGATAATACTATCACCATGTTACAAGGTTATTCATAATAGCTGAAAGGTAGAAGACAAGTGTCACTGACAGATGAACAATCAAGAATGTGATTTATGTATAATGGATCAGAAGAAATTCTGTCACACGCTACAACATGGATGAACCTTGAAGGCATTATGCTAAGTGAAATACACCAGTCACAAAAGGACAAACACTCCATGATTCTACTTCATATGAGGTACCTGGAGGAGCAGTCCAATTCACTGGGACAGAAGATAGAATGGTGGTTGCCAGGGGCTGGGGGGAAGGGGACATGGGGGTTAGCGTCTAACGGAGACAGCTTCAGTTTGGGAGGGCGGAAAAGGTACGGAGACAGATGGCGGTGCCCGGTGCACAACACTGTGAATGTGCTTAATGCCACAGAACTGTACACTTAAAAATGCGTAATAGTTTTATGTTATATATATTTAATCACAATAAAAGAATACATGAGGAGAAAGGGGAAGCTCTTTGCAACAGAATCACAAAGAATCGCATATAATAAATATAGAAGGAATAATAGAAAATCACATTTTGGCAACCATCATATTAATAGTTCAGGCAAGAATCATCAATGGATGCTAAAACTAATGGTGATCATTTCAGGAGGGACAGATTATTAACTGCAACCCCCACAAATTACTTACTGATTACATGTTAATTAAGAAGTAAAATAGCCCTGGGTGCGGTGCCTCAGTGGGTTGAACGTCCGATCCAAAGGCAAGCGATCCGAAGAGTCTCTGGTTCAATTCCTGGTTAGGGCCAGGTACCCAGTTGGGGGTGTACAAGAGGCAACCAATCGATGCTTCTCTCCCTCTCTTACAAGTAAAATATACTAATGAACTTCACAATAGAGAATTCGATATGTACTATCTTAATCAAGTGGTAAAATCCTGCACTGAGAACACTGTCATTTCTGTGATATTCCTGCCAAAAATGCATTACCTAATCTAATTAGGAGGGACATCAGACAAACCCTAAATGGGTAACATTCTACTAACTGGCACATACTCTTCGAAAATGTGAAAACTGTGAAAGAAGGGCTGGGGGGGGTAGTCAAAGAACTATCCAGATTACAGGCCAGTAACAACACGCAAGTACTGTAACACACGCACAGTTCTTTCTGGACCATATCAAGGGACCAAAGGGAAAAGAAGGGTTTTGTTGTTTGCTTTGTCTTTTGCTATAATGGACATTACAGAAATCATTTGAAAGGGGGGTAGGAATTCAGTGATAGTATTGTTATAATATAAATTTCCCTGATTTTGATGAATGTACCGTGACTAAGTGTGTGAGTGTCATTGTTTTTTTGGAAATACACACAGAAGAAATTCTGGAGCAAGGATGCGCCAAGTCTGTAACTTATTCTCAAATGGTTCGGACGGAATCCACTTCCAAAATTCCTCTCTAGCTTCCTGCACAATTTCCTTCATGGGCTCGAAAAGTCACCAAGATTTACAGTAACAAAAGTGATTTCTGAAGTCCAGTTATCCTGGACCTTTGCAGGCTAAATTCTATGCTCCCAGGGACTTAAGTCAATATTAAAGGTAGAGTCCTAGTACTGACAGCCAAATGAACTTTTAAGAGACTGCTCAATAAATACCGGCTAATTACAGAGTTCTACAGCAGTGAAGAAGACAGCCCAAGGGTGAACGGCTGTCATAAAATCGTGCATTCAGGCCACGAGAGGCCTACAGGCTTAGGGTTAGGGCTCTGATCACACAGACTAAGGTGCACATCTGAGCTCTACCACTTACTAGCTCTGTGACCTGGGTGAGTTCTTCTCACCTCGGATTCCTCATCTGCAAAATGGAAATGATAGTTCTTAGGTTCATTTTAAGAACACAGTGAGAATCCATACACTAGAACATTTTCAGCCATTAAAAGGAATGAAGTAATGATAAATTTGGATGAACCTCCAAATCACGCTATGTAAAAGAAGCCAGACACAAGAGGCCACATATTACGGGATTCCATGATGTGAAATGTCCAGAATAAGCGCATCCACAGAGACAGAAAGTAGGTTAGTACTTGCTTGGCAGCAGGGAATGAGGGGTGGGGGGTTATAAGTCCAGGGTTTCTTTTTGTGGTGAAGAAAACATCCTTCAATTGTAGTGATCACTGCAGTATGTGAATATACTAAAAACCACTGAACTGCCCAGGCTGGTGTGGCTCACTGGATTGAGCGCCGACCTGCAAACCAAAGAGTCGCTGGTTCGACTCCCAGTCAGGGCACATGCCTGGGTTGCAGGCCAGGTCCCCAGTTGAGGATGTGTGAGATGCAACCACACATTGATGTTTCTCACCCTCTCCTTCTCTCCCTCCTTTCTCCTCTCTCTACAAATAAATAAATAAAATCTTTAAAAAAACACCCAACAAACCACTGAACTGTATGCGTTAAATGAACGAACTGTATGGTATGTGAATTATATCTCATTAAAGTAATTTTTCAAAAAAGAATAAACTGGGCCCCAGCCAGGTGGCTCCATTTATTGGAACATTGTTCCATACACCACAAGGTTGCATGTTCAGTCCCCAGTCCGAGGCACGTATAGGAGGCAACCAATCAATGTTTCTCTCTCACATTGATGTTTCTCTTTCTCTAAAATCAACGAATATGTCCTCAGGAGAGGATTAAAATATATATGTACATATATAAATATATGTTATCTTGTGATAAACAATGCAAAGAGGCACAATAATTATAAAATATGATAGAACTGAGAGCAAACCTACCTGCCATAACAATATACATGAATGACTTTGTTTTCTACGAAAAAAGTTGACAATCCATAATGAAGACAAACACTATGATTATTTACGTACCAAACAACATAGCAATCAGCTTTATGAAGCAAAAACTACACACCTATTCCTAATTCTAATCAGAGTCTACTCATTTTAAAATTAAAATGGTTATATTGTAGTAGTGCAAAAATACCCTTAACCCTACAATTATTGGGTTAATGAAGTGAATAAAAGTTACTCTTATCTCCCTTCTGGGGAGGGTGAAGTGTTGCTGCTCTCGCCCCACGCCGCACTCCACTACCAGTCTTCATTCACTGAAGTGCCGCAGGCTCAGCGCCGCTATAGTTTCCGTCACTGGTCATCCAGCCTGGTCTGTTCCCTTACTGCCACCACTGTCGTCTCTTCCTTCTCTTTTAAAAATAGCTCTAAAACAACTGCTCAGGTTTTTCCTCGCCCTCTCCACTGTGACAGCAGCCTCAAGGGCAAGGTTTATGGCTTCCATCAAGATCTTTTCATCCAGTTACCCTGATTTTCTTCCTTTTCATTTGTTGTATGTTTATTGATTTTAGAGAGAGAAGAGATAGAACCATCAATGTGAGAAACATCGACTGGCTGCCTCCCTGCACACACCCCGACTAGATATTGAACCTGCAACCCAGGCATGTGCCTTGACCCAGAATTGAACTGGCGACCTTTCATTTGCAGGATGACACTCGACCCACTGAGCCACACTGGTCAGAGCTGAAGATTTTTCTATATCAATATATTCTTTTTAATAGCTACATAATATGCCATTGTATGAATATACCATCCATAATTTAATCCTTATTCTAGTATATTGATATTATTTCCAGGTTTTTGTTATTTACAGAGAACACAGCAGAACACATCCCTTACTATCATCTTTACACAATTAAATTTTTAGAAATAAAATTGCTTTGTCAAGACTTTTTTTTACTGACAAATTTGCCAAACTGCACTCAAAAGAAGACATTAGTTTCAACTTCCACAAATTGAGTGTGAAAAGTCCCTGTTTTCTCTCACTTTTGCCAATACTACACATATTACTAAACTTTTTCATCTTTGTTCAGCTTCACAGAAAATGGTCCCCCTCTAGTTTGCATTTCTATGTGAGACTAAGCACTTTTTTGTTTCCAGCCCACTTTTTTTCCCCTTTTCTGTGAGTTGCCA